GGGTGGGTGGGGGGACCCTGGGCAGGGCGGCGTATGTCCCGAGCGGCTGTGTCTCATGAGTGGCGCGCGAAGCCGCTGTTGCCTGCGCGGAGAGTGATTACATGCCGCACGAATGGGCGTGGCGCGGCGCGTGACGCTGGAGTACGCAAGGAGCGGGGGCGGCGCATCGGCAGCGCTGGAGCCCTGCGCAGGGCAACTCACGATGTGCGGCGGCAGCGAAGCGAACGCCCTCCATACTGAGTTGGATACCCTGCAGGTATGAACGCGCTTAGAAGCAGGTAATCGCGAGACGCTGCCAGTCCAGAACGCAAAGCCCTGGCCCCACCTGAGAGAAGCGTCGGCTGTGCTAAGGCAACCAAGAAGCGGCGAGGTCCGCCATAGCTGCCTTGTAAGGCCTGCCAGAGCCCGCCTGCTCATCGCAGCGGCGAGCTTGTGCAAAGGCCGTGATCCCGATCTCCTGGACGGTCAAATACGCATAAACCACCGATCACAATCAACAGGAAGCGACAGTGGTGCTGAGCTCAAGGCCGGCAAGCCGGGTTACTACGAGATGTGATCTGGTGACCTGCTCTGGTCGCTTGCTGCCAGTGCAACAGCGTGTTCATTGTCAAGCTTTAAAGCTGATATATGCCCTTAAGACTCTCCCGCTATCCTCAGCTCACCTTTGAATTGCAACTTCTGTGAGCAGTTGTGAATATACATATGGCAGCCGCCACGACGAGCTAGTATGTTCTGTAGCTGATACATGGTGACTGAAACTCGCAGTCCAGGCTTGCCGCTTGCCTACCGCATGGCCGCGTCGCAGGCTCATTGAAAGCGGCACAGCCGCACAGCTTTGTGCCGCCAGGCAGCAACAACAGCGAGCAGCAGCGCCCCTGGCCCTGTGCCCCCTCTTGCCTGTCGCGGCACCACACCCCATTGATGTCGTTGGGCTACGCGGACCGCCTGTCCTTCCGGGAGGACCTGGGAGGCAGGCTGGGGGCGCCCGAGCTTTTTGATGACGCAGCGCGCGTGGCCGATGAGGTCGAGCGGCTGGCGGAGATGGTGCGCCCGAACGCACGCCTGCGGCGCCTGGGGCGCGCGACAGCGGCACGCCCATGCAGCTCCCCGCATGGCTGCCGGGCGCCCGGCCCCCCAGCCACAGCAATGCTAGCACTGGCACGCGGCCGGCGCCCGCACGGACAGCGTCAGGCGGCTGCGCAACGACCCCCACTCCACTGCGCGGCGCAGGTGCGGTGCGCAGAGCGCGTGGTCGCGTTCACGGGCGCCGGCATATCCACGGCCTGCGGCATACCCGACTTCAGAGGCCCCGGCGGCGTGTGGACGCTGCAGCGCGCGGGCAAGCCGCCGCCGCGGCTGCAGACCAGCTTCGTTTACGCCAAGCCCAGCCTCACGCACATGGTGCGCGGGCTCGGATGACGCCGATGCGTCCCACGCACTGGTGCATCCAGCCAATTTGCAGCAGCAATGCGCTTGGAGCAGTGTTTAGGTCGGCTGTTTCGCCCATGCATTGGCCTTCTTGTGAATCACGTCGCCTTGGAGGTGGGTTGCACCGCCGGCGGAGGAGAGCCGCTGGCACGTGATCCTCACCCCGCCGCGGTCCACAACCCTTTGCCCTGCGCCAGGCCCTGGTGGCCCTCATGCAGGCCGGCAAGCTGACTTACATATGCTCCCAAAACGTGGAGTGAGACCCCTGCGCGTGCTGGGCGGCCCCGCGGCGCCTGCCGCAGCCTCACTTTCCCCCTGCCGAGCCTGGCGGGCCTCACGAAGCAGGGCCGCTCGTCTTTGCAAATATTCATCACTATTGCAGCTCGCGCAGTTCTTGCCTTATGGCAGGTCCTCACCTCCTTCTCCGCCCTCCCTCCACCCCCCTTCCCCTGCAACGACTACAGCGGCCTGCACCTGCGCAGCGGGGTGCCCCGCGCCCAGCTCGCGGAGCTGCACGGAAACTGCTTCGCGGAGCGCTGCCGGCGCTGCGGGGCCGAGTACGTCCGAGACTTCGAGATGGACACGGTGCGGCGGTTGACGGCGGTTGACGGCGGTTGGCGGCGGTTTGCAGCGGTTGAGAGGCAGTTGGGGGGTCGGCGTTGATTGCGGGTGGACAGCAAGCTTGACTTGTTGTCGGCGGGGTGAGATTGCAGGGGAGCAATGCCTTGGAGGACAAAAGAGCTTGTGTCGGTGGACAGCTGGTAACCGCATCAGGCTGTGGGGGGGCTGTCTGCATATTCCGGGAGGAGACGCGCTGCGAGCAATAGCCACATTGCTGGCGAGCGTGACCCTGGGCCCCCCGCCTAGCTTTTCAGCCCGCTCCCACCGTTGTGTGATCAGGTGGGGTTCAAGCCGTCGGGGCGCGGCTGCACACGGCCGGGCTGCAGGGGGAAGCTTCATGACCACATCTTGGACTGGTGAGGGTGGCGGGGAGGGGGTGGACGTGGGGGTGGGGGGATGCCTGTAAGGGTGAGGCCAGCAGGGGATCCAGGAGGCAGAAGGAAGGTGCAGGGGGCTGGTTGTTTGCGTTAGAGGTTGCACTACTGCAAGGTCAGCCGGCTCACGAGGCTGTCGACGCGGCGGGGACAGGGGACGCAAAGATCGCCAGCACGCCCTCCCAGCGCTCCTGCCGCCGCCCGCTTGCCACGGCGGGGGGTCCTCGGGTGCGCCAGGGTTTTGCTGCAGCGCAAGGCGCCCCTGCCACCACGGCTGGCCCGTACTTGTGGCGCCCCGTTGAAAGACGCCCGGCCAACGTGCACCGCCCAAATCTGTGGACGGCCAGGGAGGACGCCTTGCCGGATGACGAGCTCGATGAGACGGAGCGGCGCGCTGACGAGGCGGTGAGGGGGCCGCCGCACCCGCGCCCGAGGCGCCGCGGCTTGCGCGCAACGGCCGGATGCCGGCTGCGCTGGCAGCAGATCGCGGCACAGGCGTGCCGTGCCAGCGGGGGCTGGTAAGCGCAGCGGGGGCTTGTGAGCGGCACCTGGCTCAGCGCAGCCCGATGGGCATGAGAAATAAAAAATGGATGCAGCACGGCCGCCCTCTCCATCGCTCCGACGCCTCACAGTCACCCTGGCCCCACCCCCCTCGCTTGCGATGTTCAACCCACCAGGACCTGTCCATCTGCCTGGGCACCAGCCTGCAGATCGTGCCCGCAGCCAACCTGCCCCTGCGCACCCTCAAGACAGGCGGCCAGCTGGCCATCATCAACCTGCAGGTGCGCGCAGCTTCTCGTTCGGGGCCTCAACCCGACTCGGTCAGGCACGATCAACAACAAACCGGGCGCGCACGTCGCACCGCTGATGTTGCACGGCGCCCAGACCTCACACACTGCCTCTTCGACTGCCCACACTGAGCTCACTTCCTCCCTGCATTGAATCAAAGAATGCATCGCCCTGTCACCGCTGCCCGCAGGCGACCCCGAAGGACCGCCGTGCCACGCTGGTGGTGCACGCCAGGGTGGACGGCGTGATGGCGCTGCTGCTGCGGCGGCTGGGGCTGGGTGTGCCTCGGTACACGCGCTCAGACGCCGTGGTGGTGGGCCACAGGGCCTGGAAGGACAGGCGGGCGTTTGAGGAGGCGGGCGGCGAGGAGGAGGACGCGCAGCAGCAGCAGCAGCAGCAGGATCTGGACCAGCAGCAGAAGCCGCAGCAGGAGCACCAGCAGGAAAAGCAGCTGCAGGAAAAGCAGCTGCAGGAGCAGCAGCAGCAGGAAGAGCAGCAGCAGGGAAAGCAGCAGCAGCAGGACGGGCACAGCAATGGCTGGGGCTTCACCCTCACTTTGTCGAGCGTGCACGGCGCCGAATGCCCGCTGCCGATGGTGCGGGCTGCTGAGGTGGCGTTCCCGGGCACGCCCGGCCTGCGGCCCGCGCGGCTGGAGGGAGGCGCACCGCTCACCGTGCGGCGGTGGGTGGGAGGGGGGGAGGGCCGCGGCGTTGTCGTGGCGAGGGTGCGGCTGCTGCTGGTGGATGCTGCTGACGAGGACAAGCGGGTCGTGGAGGTGCGGGGTGGTGGCTGGGACCCTGCCTGAAGGGGGGCCACGGCCTTGGGCACGGGCATGCGGATGCAGCAGCCGCACCACATAATACACGCCCACCAACACAGGAAGTGCTGCCACAAGACCGCATGATTCGGCCATGGCTTTGGACTGGCGGCTGCCTGCTTCATCCATTTGATGACCCTCATGACCGTCGTCCCACACACTTGCCACCGCCCACAGTTTGACTACACTTTGACCCCCGCCCGGACAGCCGTGCCCCAGACCATCACATTTGAGACGCAGCGCCATGACTACTCGGATCAGCAGCAGCGCCTCTGCGGTGAGCTTGAGGCCTCCGCCGCGGCGGCCAGGGCGGCGGCGGCGGCGGGGGCAGGCGGCGGTGGCGTGGGCAGGGGCGGCGGCGCGCGGGCGAAGGGGCGCCCCCGGGCCGCGGGCAGCGGGGCGGGCGCGCGGTACGAGGAACGGGAGGTGGAGGGGCGGGAGGTGGAGGAGGAATTGGAGGACGGCGGCGGCGGCGGTGCTGCAGCGGGCGACGGGGCCGGCCGCGGCACGGGCGCGGGCGCCGGCGGCACTGGGCGGGCCCGGAAGAAAGCCAGGCGCCTGAACCTGTAGAACATGCAGTCGCAGCGGCAAGCCAGCAGCGACGATCTGTTGGCTGTGGTCATCCCCTGGTTCAAATATGACGTTAATGTCAAGAGATGATGCGCACACCTTGATTGGCGTCGTGCCCTGCGCTGCCTTTCTTCAATCCTGGCTTGCTTGATTTGTGCCACTGCAAATTTGCCGCAACTATCGCCCCTTGCCCGGCCAGGGCACTATCTCAGCGCCGTTGGACCAGGTCGCTGCCCATTCACGGCAGCTGCCGCAGCCACCTTCAAGCCCGCCCGGTAGCTGTGCTGACACAGCTCACCACCTCCAAGCTGGCGGCGGCCGCCTCGCTCGCATCCTGGGGGCTGTAACCTTGCAATTGGCTGTTATACGGTGGTGGCAGCCTCGTCCGCTCCTTTGCATGCTTAAGACAGGACCTGCTCATTGGCAGCACAAACTACAAAGAGTGTTGCAACTGCAGGTAGGCCCAAGGGAAAGGCATGTCCTGAACGTATAAGCAAGGAATGTCAGGTAATGAGTTTGAAAACTTGGGACGAGTGCATCGTTGTTGAGCACTGGGGCAAGGTTGTGTGTGTGAAACCGTCTGTGTGGTTGGGTGTTGATGTTCATTGTTGATTTCGTTGAAGTGATTGTTGTACAGACCCTCCTCCTCACCTAAAAGACCACGCCAGCCATAGCAGGCAAAACAACACCAGAACCCAACAGCACGCCACTGCGCTCACCCGCACGACTGGTTGCACAGCGGGCACGCGCCGCTTCGCCGCCGCCACTCCGCAATGCAGTCCGCATGGAACTGGTGGCGGCAGCGCAGCACCGCCCTGCTCTCCCCGCCGACCAGATCATCCAGACAAATGATGCACACGTCACTCGGTTCACTGTTGTACGCCCGCGCCGCCCGCAGCGCCGCCCGCGAGGCCGCGGCGGCCGCGCCGCCGGCCGCCTGCAGGGTGACCTCCATGATAGCGTGGCGGAAGGCCAGCACCAGCGGCGCGCGCGCGGCGTCGCGCAGCGGCAGGTGCCAGGTGTCGTGCCCGGCACACGACACCACCAGCGACCCGCCGTCCCCGCCGTCGCCGCCGCCGCCGCCGCCCCTGGAAACCACCACCGGCGCCGCTGCGTAAGTGTCCAGCCAGACGCGCCCGCCGCGGCCGAGCGAGAGCTTGGCGCGGCCCTCGGCCGGGTGCGTCGGCGCGAACCGCAGCGTCAGCGCGCCGCCGCCCTCGAGCGCGGCTGCCGAGAAGCTGACGCTGCTCCAGCGCTCCAAACTTTCGCCAATCACCCGCACCGCCTCGTCCCCGTCGTCGCCGTTATCGCCGCTGGCGACCCTCCTGCAGCGCACCCCCTCTCCGGCCTGCAGCCAACCCACGCGGTCGCTGTACGACGCCGAGTGACGCGTGGCACGCCGCTCCGTCCTCAGCGTGCGCAGCGCGCGGCCAGCGCCGCGGCGCGCGACGCTGCCGAAGACTTTGCCCATTTGCACCACACACTTGTGGTAGTCATCCATGGGCAGGGCGTTAATTGTGGACAGGAATGCGTCGTATATGGTGGGAGCCAGCGTCCAGGGGTCGCACTCTGGGGTGTAGTGGCGCTTTACAAGTGGCATCATCACCTGCGGAGCAGCAGGCCACGCACGGGCCGGGGGCGCAGTGCGAGGCGTTCATGGCTGGAGGCAGGGTCGAATGGCAGTGTTTGCGGGGCTTGGCGATCATTCTGATATGCGCGAGAAACATTTGGGCAACATACTGCTTAGTACGCGACCACTCCCAGGCGGCACTGCCCCGCCGCAAGGCGACCCCAGGATGGCCCATGCCGCCCAAGCTTGCCCGCACACCAGGAATCCAAACAGCGCGCGGACGTCGCCCGGGGGGTCGCCGATGGCGCCGCGCCCGCTGTGCCTCATGTTGCGCTCCACCGCGGTGTTGAACATTGTCTCAAGCTGGGCAGCGTCAAACTCGTGCGCCCCAGCCGACGCGATGCAGGCGATGTACTTCTGCAAGGGGTTAGGGGAGCTGCCGGCAGGCAAGCGGAGGGGCTGGGCTGCAGCAGCCTCGGGTGCGCCGTTGCTCTTGGGTGCGTGGAGGCGTTTGGTTATGATTATTATTTGGGTACAGCACTCAGCAAAAGTCTGGCTGTGCAGCGGCTGAGTACGAGACATCCTATGGGGCACATCCAATGGCTGTCGCATGGAATTTCAGAAAGCATCACACAACACGCACAGCACCCGGTGGGCTTCTGAACTGTCTGCTGTTAGAGGAAGCTACCACTCAGGCGAGCAATTCATTGCAGCCGAGCGCCAGCTCCCCGGGCCGCGCGCCCACCTGCATCGTGTCCCGCATCTTCGGGGCCTCGTGCACGATGCGCGTCAGCCGCTGCAGCTGGGGCTGGGTGCGGAGGAACGTCTGGTGCACCCGCAGCACGCTCAGCGCGACATCGAGGTTGTCCACCGCCTCGGAACGGCCGATGCCGGGGCCGGCGGCGGCGAAGGCGCAGTTTTGGATGCGGGCGTAATCGGCGTCGAGGGTGACGTCCCAGCCAGCGCCAACGCCCAGCCTGCGCAGGCAGGTGGTGCATCCAAACGTTAGTACCCGTACATGGAAGGCGGGCTCGCAAAAGTGGTCGTACCAGAGCGTTGAATTGATAAAGACGTGGCTGCTGCTTGCATTAACCTGGTGAGTCCAACCCACACATGACCCGAGTCCAACCCGAGGATTGTAAATGTCAGTCGTGGCTGATCCGCTTGGCCCTTGCGGCCTGAGCCTGAGCCTGAGCCTGAGCCTGAGCCTGAGCCTGAGCCTGAGCCTGAGCCTGAAATGGCCTATATCGGTACCCCTCCAACCTCCACCCGCCCTCCACCACCCCAGCAGCACCCCCACCTCTGCTCGTCGTAGTACACCGTGTCGTCGTCCTGCTTCACACACACTGCCGCAAGATCGACCTCATGCGGCGGCTCCAGCAGGCAGATGGAGGCGCACAGCCGCCCTCTCTGCAGCGGTGCGCGGTAAATGCTTGCCTTGCGCCCCCTGTAGTCGTCCGTGATGGCCACGAGCTTGTAGAGCAGGTCGCCGTTGGGCTTGCGGCCGGAAAACTGGAACTCGGCGCAGCGGCCTGTTGGCGGACGTGCCAAAAGGAGGTCATCAGGGTTACGCGGGGGAGAGAGGGCCGGTCAGGCAGTGAAGAGGCGCCGGGGTCGTTTGCGTAGGCGGCGGGCTCAAGACCTCCGCTCCCACGCCGCTGAATTGCCCCTTGGCGGACAGGGGCGTAGTGGCACGGATCGCTGTCTTGTAAAAAGGCTGCGGTGTGAGCAGGGCCAGCTGTACCTGAATTGTAATTGCCGGGCCTCCAGTACAGCTTCAGCCAGTCCTCAAGCGCAAGGCCGCCGGACCTCGGGCCTGCGCTGACGAGCTCTCGCGGCATGGCCTGGTGCTGTGGTTGGCGCTCGTCCCGCCGGGGTGGGTGCGGTACGGTGGTTTACAAATGTGGGTGGGTGGCGCTGGGGCCAACCTGCTGGCACCCCACAGACGGAGGTATGCCGTGGACTGATGCTTCCGTGGTTCTCCGCGTGTACGTCCACGCCGCTGTGTCGATTCAGGAGCACGCCAGGAATGAAAGAAACGAAGCGGCCCGGACTCAGAGTCAAAGAAGTCCAGCTGCGTCGATGAACGGTTGAACGACGGAATGCCATGTGAATGTTTTACACTAGAAGTACTCTGCGGCATCTTCCTCTCAGCAGCCGTGGCCTTGCTGTGTAGTGCAGTCGCCGCCAGCTTCCGGGCAGACACGGCATGGTACCTGCGGGTCCTGAAGGGAGCTGCTCCCAGCGCAGGTTGATCCTCAAGGTTTCCATGTGGTCCCTGCCAGTTAGTTGGCCCTTACACGCAAGTGATGCCCCAATGGCTGGAGGTACTGAGGCTCAAGGCGCCGCCCGGTGTAGAGCAGTCGAGGGCTTCCTCCTGACGAGTGCATGTCACCAAGCACGCGCGCCACAAAGCATGGTTTGCAGTGACTGCGGGCGCATGTCCACTGCACTCTCAGTGCCGCAGGCCTTGGGGCATCAGCTTTTGAGGCAGCCAAGTGCTGCCCAGTACACCATTCCAGGCGTCTAGAGGGCCTCCCGAATGTTTCTGGTGTGATGGATGACAACGGCCCTATCAGGACCTTCCTCTGGGAGGATTGTTCAACGGCCCAGCTGCCTGTACTGTAGTCCCAAGGGGCGTGATGGTTGTCGGCGTTGCCCTTGACTGCCGCCTGCACAGCAGGTTCTCAGGTGTGCCGGTCAAAAATTGCTGCTATTTGTCACGGCAGCGTGTTACAAACACGGTTGCCTACAACGAGACGGGACGTTGATTGCTTGTCCAGGTGCCCACCCCACTGGACATCAGATCTGCCCAGCCCGACCGACACCCCAGTCTCGCCGGCTCAACTGCCGCTGGCTCACTTACACAATGCATGGGCTTATGGCTAGCTGGGCCTTGCTCAGGCCCCAGCTGCCCACCAGATACTGCCCACGCTACACTATCCGCAAAACTTGCAGGTCGTGTCGTATCATTCACAGCACGCTCTGTGCCCACCTCGCCCTCCCTGCTTTTAAGCTGCTGTGCCCCAGAGTAAAACGGCGCGCGAGGCGCAGTGCGGGGTATGGTGGGTGCCTGTAATTTCTGAGTTGCGCCAAGCGGTTCCTCGCGCTCCTCCAGCACCGAATTGCGCGGCTTGGCCTGGGCGGCCGCAGCTCAATGAAGCCGGTGCTGTAGGGTCAGTCGGCGCACGTGCAGTCAGTCAAACTCATCAATCACGCTTCAGGTGCGGGATGCCGCATGTCAACAGTTGACGTAACATCCTATACAGGCTGTGGACAGCTGCCTAGTGTTCGCGCTGTACTCATCTGTATGAACGCTGGGCTTCTCTGCAACCCTTGCCAGGCCAGAGGCGGTCAACACAGGCTAGTCACTTCGTCACCAATACTCTTGCCTGGCAGGTGGAACGATGCTGTCAGATTTGGTGGAAATACATGATGAAAGGAGGCGCACGGCTTGGAGGGGACACCGCTGCAGTCTTTGCACATAATTCAAAGTCTGCGGGATCACCTTGAGCCACCATTGCGTGTGCTGAGCGAGCTGTGTGCTGCTGGGATGGCGGTGCCCGCTCAACTGCGATCAAGAGCAATTCTGTTGTTAGCTTGCGTGTATTTCACATGTTGAGCTCGTTCCCTTGCGACAGCTTAGGTTTCCGCGGCGATCTAGGCTTGGTCATTGTTGCAGCATCTGTGTTGGTCCATGAATAGAACCGCTTCATAATATGCATTCATATGCGCCACTGCTCGTACCACTGCATTGACCATGCACACCCACTGTATGCTGGCAGCGATGCTGCTCGTGCTGCTGCTGGTGCTGCATGCCACTTCGACGCATGCAGCGCCGCCAGATGAGGAGGCTTCGACGTTGCAGGAGCTCCAGGAACAGCTGAAGGCTCTCAAAAATCGAGTCGCTGAGCTAGAGACAAACGGTGTGTTGCAAAAGCATAGTCCCATGACGCAGGCACAGGCTGTGCGCTGCCCCCCCTCCACCCCAAACGCACACACCTTGTTAGCAGCCCTTCACCAGAGTTGAGGGCGGAACAGAAGCTTCACTCCGCATGCACCCCACCGCCCCCCCCCTTCACGCACCCCCGCGTCCCCGCGCCGCAGGCGCCCCCGGCCCCGCCGCCGCGACGCCGCTGCTGCCGCCCCGCGCCAACCTGCAGCGCACGCTCGCGCAGCGGCCCAGCGCCTGGGCCGACCATGCCGCCCTGCTGGCTGCAGTCTCCGCCGACGCGCGCGTCACTGCGGCGGCCGGCCTGCCCGAGCCCCCAAACCCCGGCCGCGGCGCGCCGCTGCTCACAGTCATCGGAGACTCGGAGGGCCGCCTCTACTTCTTCTCCCCGGACGGCGTACTGCTGCATGAGCGCGCGACCACGGGGCCCCCCTCGGCCGTCACCGCGCTCGCCGCGTGCGGGCCCGGCGTGGGCAACCGGTCCGTGATCGCGGCCGGGCGGGCGGACGGCGCCGTCGAGCTGCTGAAGGTCCTGCATGACCACGCCGGCCCCCGCGGCGGCGCCGGCGGGGGCGCCGGCAGCTTCGCGGCGGCTTCCGGCGGTGGCGCGGTGTACTCGGTGGAGCCGCTGCTGCTGTCGACGGCCGCGGACCGACTGTCTGACCGCGCGGCGGCCGCGGCCGCGGTCGCAGCGGCGATGGCGGCGGCCGGCGCGAAAAACGGCGGCAAGGGCGGGAGCGGCGGCGGCCGCGTGGGCGCAGCGGCGGAGGAGCAGCTGCTGCTGGCGGCGCAGCAGCAGCAGGAGGCGGCGGACCTTGGGCTCAACGGCATCGTCGCCCTGCAGTGCATCAAGTAAGGGGAGGGTTCAGCCTCTCGTCCTGCGCCACACGGACTGCGGGCACGGGCGCGCCTGCGCGCGGTGCGCTGCGGCGCGCCGCGGTATTGCATTGGCTGCGACGGCCGCGGCACCTGCCCGCAGGGACTCGCGTCTGCTTCTGCGGCTTGCGGCACACGTTTGCTACAGATTCGCCGCACAACGTCGCCCTCCACCATCACATCTGCCCCCAATCGCCGACCGCACCTGCTCTGGTACCTCAACCAAACAACGCCCCTCGTTGCGCCAACTCATCTCATCCATGGCCATGCCAGGGTGTCAGGACTGCGCATAGCCGTCGCCGCGGACGCAGCTGGCTGGGTCTCCACCGCGGCCGACTCAGCCGGCCCCTCCGTCCACCGCGCGCTCGGTGGCGCGGCGCTCGCGATGCGTTCGAGTGAGCCCCACCGCTCCTCGCGGCCTTGCAGCGAAATTCGCTGCCCTGCCTTTGACCCGCGGGTGGCTCTCGCCAGCACCAAGCTGACGGAGCAGCCGCTCCTCCACAGCAGCAACCCACATGCTTTTCCGGGGTTTCTGCCATCCACGCCGCCGCCGTCCGCTGCCGCATCTGGCAGCGGCGCCGCGCAACCCTGGCTGTTGGTTCTGCCTCGGCCGCTTGGCGCGTCCTGCTGCCTGCCCCGTGCTCGCGGCAGGCTTATCTTGGGAGCTGCGAGCCTCCTCTCCAAACTCATGGCAACACCCGCACTTGCTGCCGTCCTCAACCCCAGGCCACCTACTGACTGTCGCCCTCACGAGCACCCAGGCCGCCGTCGTGTGGCTGCGCCCCGGCCGTTCCGTCGGCCGGCGGCCGTGCATGGGGCTGGAGGGGCCCGGGGGCGGCCTGGTCGCGGCGGTGTTTGACCCGCACCGCACATACCGCGCCTACGGCTACACGGAGGGTGAGCTGATTATTCAGAATCAGGCAGGGCGCCGCATCTGCGCGCGCACCAGTCGGTGGACCGCGTTTCTGAAGCGCTCCTTGGATGGGCGTTGATTGGGGGCGCCACCGCTTGCTGCCCGCTTTGCGTCCAGCCGCCCCCTGGGCGTGGCTGAGCGCCGCTGCTTGGTTGCCTGCACTATCCCCGGCAGGTGGAGACCTCGTGGCGCTGACTGTGCCATCCGAGAAGAAGGCAGCCCCCTGCAAGGTGCGGCGCGATGGCCACGGCAGGGGTTGGCGAGCCGCGGCCCCGGCTCGCTGCGCCCCCGCCATCTCTGTCGCTCGCCGCCGCCCGCAGCCGATCCCTCCTGCTCAGCCATCTCGCAGCCGCAGCTTGCCCAGCCTGCCGCAGCCGCTGCTGTGTGGCTTCCATTCAGTGTCAGGCATGCCTGTGCAGCTCCTGCCTCCCAGGCCCCTGCCCGCGCAGGCCCAGACGGCGCGCGCCAACACGCACGGCCCCTGCCCCTCCGCCTTCCGCCACCCCCGCAGGTCGCGCAGCGCCTCCCCCTCGGCCTCGCCCCCGGCCCCGTGTCGCTCGCCGCCACCAAAGACCGCCTGCTCCTCTCCCACGCCGCCGGCGTCGCGGCGTTCAGCACCGCGGCGCCGCTGCAGCGCGCGCTCGTCCCCGTGACGTCGCAGCTGTGGGGGGAGGTCTGGCGGCAGAGCGGCCTGCTGCGATTTGCGGAGGAGGCCCCGGCGCGGGGCGACGGGGCCGGCGGCGGCGGGGCAAACGAGGTGGAGGAGTGCGGTCGAGGGGATGCAGAGGCGCTGGCGGTTGTTGGGGAGGGCGTGGCCGGGGCTGGCGCCTGCCCGCGGCCCCCGGCGCCGCCGCTGCTCGCGGTGTCGGGGCAGCTGGCGTTTGTGGGGCTCGGCCCGACCAGCGTAGCACTGTTTGACGTCGGCAGCGGCGGGGCCCGCGGCGGCGGCGGCGGCGGCGGGGCTGTCATTGGCGGCGGCGGGGGCAGCGCCACCAACTGGATGAAGTGGCTGCAGCCGTTTGTGGTGGTGATGATGGTGGTCGTTGGCATCTGGCAGTTCAAGCGCGCGTCTGCGGGTGTGGGCGGTGCGCCGGGCGGGCGCCGGAGCCTGGCCGCGCAGCGGCGCGCGGCGGCAATGCTGGCAGCCGCAGGGCCGGACATGCTCGGGCCCTACGGTGACGGCAGCGGCGGCGGCGGCGGGCTTGGGAGCTCGTTTGAAGAGATGTTGGCAGGCGGCGGCGGTTTTGGCAGCAGCGGCTTTGGCGGCGGGGGGTATGGCGGCGGTGGGTATGGCGGCGGAGGGTCCGCGCGGCGACGGCAGCAGCAGCAGCAGCACCTGTCGGGCGGCGGCGCGCGCCCCGGCGGGCTGCGGCGCCGCGCGGGCG